TACTTTTATATTCTATAAGTTAACTTTACCATCTGTGTTTTTATATTATACTGTTTTGAATATATAATATTGTGTATCTATTCTTCAGTCCTAAACGAAGATTGTTATTTAAGTGCTCATTACTTATCAAGGGGTTATACTGGTGATTCGCTATTGAGAACAGCAGTTGTGTCGTATCCCTAGATGTAATTAAAGTTTGGCTGCTGTAGGATCACGAGCCTTAACGTACGATAGGTAACAAAGTGAATCATGCTAGTGATAGTGATCAAGTAAATTCTCCCAGCACCAGTAGTGATGCGAGTGGTAATGCTGCAGCTGCTGAGGCTACTTCACCTGTCTCTACGGAACGTGAGTGTCAAATCCCCGTGAGGAATGGTGTTAGAGTAGTCATTGATCCCTCACTGGCACCCCAACTAGATCGTCAAGACACCCTTGATTTGCTTAAACATAAAGACTTTAGAACACCAACTCCTACTCAGGTTAAACGCCTCCTAAACAAAAGTACTCAGGACACGGAACAAAATTACTTATGTTCTCCAATTGTTTTACGAACTTAAATGTTACCTTAATTCCCTTGACACTTAACCATGGCTCATCAAACAAAAACAATTAAGTTTCTTTCTTGGAATATTCGAAGTGTTTATCTTCGGATAAATGACGTAATCTTGTATGCTAAAATGAGAGACGTAGATGTGATCTGTTTACAGGAACCATATACGACCACAACTATCAAGAAGGTCCCACCTAGGATACCTGGGTATATAGCATACAACAACAGTATTGGAACTGGTTTACTAACGTATATTAAGAGTGGATTAATCTGTAAACTAATTAAAAATCATAGGAGTGATAGTATACATTATCAAAAATTCAAATTGCAAACTGCAAATAGCCATTTCCTACTGTATAACATATATGGACGATGTAATGTACTTAAAGCAGACCTGCTACCGAAACCTACAGGTAACACAGCTATGTTATGTATGGGTGACTTTAATGCTCGTCACACTGCTCTTGGTGACGTTCAGTGTAACAATAAAGGAAGGGTCTTCTTGAAATACCTTAATGATCATAATATTACTGTGTATGATACTGATAAACAGACCCATTTATTGGGGGGTAGACTGGATTATGTGATTGGATACAGCCTAGTAGATAGCAACGTCAACGTTAAGCTCATCCCAGAACTAGTAAGTGATCATTTTGCAATATATTGTGAATACAATATGAAAGAATATTAGGTCCAATCCTCATCCTAGAGTTAAAATTAACATTCCAGACAATCTTAAACAGCACTTTAAGGCTTATGTACATAAGTGGTACACTGGGTATACACCTGTATCAGTGGACCACTTTTACAATGATCTTGTCAGTATCATTACCAGTTATTATGATACCTGGGTTAAATCAAGGAAAAAAAAGAACACTCGTTCTTCCTCATGGACAGAGGATCCTATTATTATTGCAGAGCTAAAGTGCTTCAGCTGCTGACTCTTATAAACCAGACAAAACAGCTGACAATTTACTTGCATTCCTTAATGCCAACAGAGATTTTCGCGAGCTTAAGGGCCAAGTTAAGAACACATATTGGGAACAATTCCTACAAGGTATCAATAGAACTACAACATTATCAGAAATGTGGAACAAAATTAAAAACATTACCAAACCTTCAGCCCCAGTTCAGCTTCATCATACTCCTGCAGAATATGCTGACATGCTCCTAGCTCAATGGTCTAGTGTCTCACAAATTTCTTCCTTACCCCCAGATATACAGCAGCATTTAAGACATACCAACATTAACAGAAACTTTAATATTGAAATAGCACGCTCCTCACCAGATTTAACGGATCAGTTTGCTATAACCCCCTTTGAATTAACATCAGCATTAGGAAAACCTAAGCAAACTGCCCCTGGTGAGGATGGTATAACTTATAACATCTTGAGCTTACTGAATGATGTCCCTAGCCACCATGGCTTGACCTCTATCAAATGAGTCTCTCACACGGTATCTTGCTAAAGAAATGGACACAAAGTCTCATAGTACCAATTCCTAAACCTAACTCTCAAAAATTCAGACCCATTTCCCTTACATCTTGCATGTGTAAAGTCTTGGAGAGAATTGTTCTCAATCGTGTCATGTTTCAGGTCAAAGAAAAACTGGCCCCTAACCTATATGGGTTCATGCCCAAGTGTAGCACACAAACATGCTTTGCTGAATATTTTGTAAACTCCCAGGATGGGACACAGGCAGCCTTTATTGACCTAAAGTCAGCTTTCGATGTAGCGAATGGCGAAATAATATTAGAGCAACTTGCTGAATTTGGAATCAAAGGTGATCTTCTGAGTTGGATAAAGAGCTACCTATCCAACAGGCGTGCTAGTGTCCTATTTAAAGGAGTTAAAAGTACAAGAACAGATGCATTCGAACTAGGCACACCTCAAGGCGGTGTCCTAAGCCCTATGCTCTTCAATATACTTATGCACAAACTTATTCATGACATACCTGTACAACCTACGGAAACTGTTATATGTTATGCTGATGATATTTGTATTATGGCACACAGTAAACCAAGGCTACAAGTGTTACTTGATGCATTCTCCAAGAAAGTAGTAGAATGTGGCCTCATAATCTCTGTTGATAAAACAAGGGTTCTTATTCCCTATTCTCTTCATGCTAACTATACTATTAATGGAGTGCCCGTGGAGACTTGTGAGTCTTATAAATATCTTGGAGTCGAGGTTAATGATACAAATCTCATCAGCAACCTGCGTAAAAAACTTGTTGAGCGTCTTAAACCTCTCAGAACTCTTGTTGGCAAAGGATTTGGCATTAACATAAAATATGCTCGTAGTTTTTATATTGCCTTTATACGATCTGTTGTTGATTATTATGCCTTGCATCTTCTTAATTTTTCTCCTAAACAATTACAAGGCCTAGATGTAATACAGAATGATGCCATGCGCATCATCCTGGGTTGTCCTAGAACTGTCAGAATTGTTAACATGAGAAAGGAACTAAACTTACCTTCCATTTACGAAAGAATAGTTCTACTTAGTACTATGTTTTGCGCCAAAACTTTGAAAAATAATGGTCCCCCCAGCTCTATTCAAATTAAATTGAGATCCATTCTAAACAATTCTGACTGTTCCCTCAATCCGCCGCAAAAAGCTCCCTACAGTGTGTGGCTCAGTTGTTGTGTCTATAATCTTCAGAAACTGAATGTATCTCTTAACCCTGATAAAACTGTTCACTATATTCCCCCTTGGAAAGATGTGGAGGTCTCTCTGCATTATACTCCCATCAGTGTAAAACAAATGTATAACACTGACATTTTGAGATGTATAACATTAGAAGCTATTGACAGTCATCTTCAAATTCTCAAACCGACTGAATCCTATGCCTTTACTGATGGCTCTGTGCAGTTAGGCACTGGTAGAACAGGTTGTGCATGTGCAGTGTATAAAGGGAATGAAATGATCATGACTAGTACACAGAGATTGAACAACTGGGCAAGCACGACACAGACCGAGCTATTGGGTATTTATCTAGCCACTGAATACCTTAAGCTCAATGGTGGTGGAGTTATTTTCTGTGACTCTAAAAGTGCTCTGCAGTCCTTAAATAACCCATCACAATGTATGTCGGAAGTAGCTTGTAATATTAAATGGAATGTAATTTTTGCCAATGATAATAATTCTTGTATAAAATTTGTGTGGATCCCATCCCATGTTGGAGTTGAAAAACATGACTTTGTAGATCAATTGGCCAATGAGGCTTGCAGGAAAGAAAACATTGATTATGATTTTGGACTATCTAATGCAGTTATTAGAAACATACAAATTAAAGAAATTAATTCAGATTTAGAAGAACTAAGAAATGCACAGAGACCTGAAAGCTGCAGTATTAAAAGTCATGACAAGTTTTGTAATAATAGGTATTTGAATGGTCAGCACAGTAACCGGACCAGTCAATGTGATGTAGTCATTGCGCGAGTTCGCCTTGGCTATAGACACATCTGGCAGGTTAGTGAGGCTGAGCCACTACCAGAATATTCAGATTGTAAACTCTGTGATAAACCTTTAATGCATTCACTAGAACACTATATTGATGAATGTGAAACCGTAAAGGACTTTAGACCTCCTGGCCTCTTGTACCACCAACTGTGTAACTATTTTATTGACTCAGGTGTTCTGGACGACATCCTAACAATTTACCCAAAATTTGCTTGTCCATTTTAAAGAATGAAGAACAATTTCTACTTATATTCTAAGCTGTATCACTTATGAACCCATCCCTGCCCTTGTGTGGCAGTGCACAATAGAAAGTTGTTTTCACATATCCACACATTAAAACATTGATTGTAACCGTGATATATATGTGCTTCAGCCTACAGTTTAGGCCTATTGTCTTATGTATGACCCTCTGTCCTGCGTGACAGTGAATACTAGCATTAGCCTCAATTTAATAAGACTATCAAAATCCTCAGATTAGGCAAAATTGTAATTAATTTTGTCAATAAAGATGTTAATAATAATAATGACTCATGGTAGGAGAAAAGCACACAGAAACTGTATTGGAGGGGACCTGAACATTCCCTCTAATGCGTTATGTCTGCTTTCCTCCAAGACTTAGGGTTCCCTTCTACCAGCCAGAGGTGGAGGCACTTGGAAGAATATGGAAGCCAAGCCCTTTCGTATTTATAATTTAAACAGATAATTATTATTATCTTCATTAATATTATCACCTTAATTTCTATTTATCTTCTACCAATTCCACCAAATTATACCCAGTCCCTACCAATTTTTAGACATCTGTTTATTGTCATATTTTAAGTTATACATTAAAAATATTTATACAGAATGCGTGGCTAGTGCAATTGATCATATTCAGGATTTTACATTTCTTGCTAATTCTTGTAAATCCTAAGCCAGGTTGACATCACTCATTTTCGCAGTGGACTGCTTCCGTATTACGCTGATGAAGCATTAACACAGATGGGGAGAAGATCTTTTCTTTTATGCCATACACTGCTTTTAGCTACTTCATACCAAGCCATGCGACATATATTAGACAGAATTATCACATCGATGATTAGAGAGCTTAACATTTCTCCCATACACTGCCTTCACTTGCTCTGTTCCAAACTGGCCATAAATGAAGATGTACTCAGCCGGGAAGCCCAGCGTCCGCAGGGAGTGGAGGCAGGAGATGCTCATGTTTGGACCCCCACACATCACAATCTGTTCAGGAGAAGCATATTAACTGATGTAGAGTGTGAGAGAATGGCATTCCAGCTAGTTTACAGATTTTGATAAAAGAGTGCACACCGCCATTTCACTTCAGTCGGAGTGCACAAGAGTGCGCCGAGCTGAGTGCACTCTAGCTTTCTTAAAATGGGAGCTAGACTTGTTTTGTTAGACATCTACGAGGCGCAGACACCCTTGGCTGTTCAGTAAAACCGAGGCCTTCGTAGCCTTTCTATTAAAAAGAATTACAGCCATTAGTATAGTTTTAATCTTAAGTTACTTGGAAACAGAACGAGGAGCGAGAGGGACTTTGGGGGGAAAGCCTAATGGTTCCCTCTTGTGTAAACTTCGCCGGTAGGCTGTGACGTCACGGGAGTCACGTGACGTCTCAGGACTGACGTCACTCGACTATACTTGCTGACTGCATAGTTTTGCATTGTGCCAATACGGACTTTAACGTAACGTTAAATTGTTGTGTTTTGTATTAGTATTAAGTTGTGAATAAATGTTAATTGTTACCAAGTGAGAAGTGTCTTTGCATCAACAAATTCCAATAATTTAGTCCCCCGTTTTTTTTACCCTGCCAATTACTGTAACGGTGCTTTGCAATTCCTGGAGCTGCTGGATTCGAACCAGTTTCATAGCCACACACACCAATATTAAATTTGGTGTGAGATCCCATTGAGCTACCCTTATGATTGCCATCAGCATTTAAGGAGCTCCACGACCTTGTGGGTGAAGAGTGCCAAGGATTTGGACTCTGGCGGCTGCGCTCACCATTTATTTAAGTTTTAGAGTATAATCTCACATCTTGCATTTAACGTGCTGGCTTCCGCAGTCCTTTCTGACTGACGACATTTGTACTAGTTTCAACCCCCAATAAATAATCTCACATAGAGAAACAGATGGGGAGGTGGGGCTGGGAGGGAGAGTTCAATATAGAGAAACTGTGGCTCTGCTATAATGGCTAACTTGAGATTTCAGTAACTCAGTGACATGAAAGCTTATTTACCTTAATCCTTTTGCCTATTGCTGGGATCATGCTGCTTCTTTACTAGCAAATCTACATGAAATACTTACGTTTACATCGTGTGTAAACTACTAAAAGACTAGCTAGAATATGAAATTTACCAACAAACATTAAAAGCTGCATACAAATAAGATGACATCAGGGAACTTTTGACAGGCCAACTGCTTCCTGTCCTCGTCGAGAGTGAGAGAGAGAGAGTGGCCCTCGGGTAAACTCAGGTAAATGTAAATCGTAATGGTTCAAATAACAATAGAAATCACCTCAAACGATAATTATTCAAAAAAATCTAATCATGTCTAAACTGCAGTGACTCTAATAAAAGGTGTCTATGTTAATGAATGTCTAACCAGGAACAGACAGGTCCTTGTGTGCCGTCTGCATCAAGTGCGTAAGCTAAACCAAGACGTGATTAACCAATGCTTTGTCACAATTGGGGAAATAAAAGGGAGAAAATGTAACACAGGAAACATGAAATAACCGATGAGGGAAACCACACAAACTTGCTCACTTTCTGCGAGATGTCAGAAAAATCTGTACCCACTGCTACCTTGCCAATGCTAACTCCATGTAATCTAGCTCATGCCAATCCTCATCTGGTAGCAGCTGCATACTAATAGCTACGCCATTCTCTAAATCTCTGTCCTAGTAGCTATATAGAGCTGGTTTTCAAAGGTATACCTTATAGTGCAGTATACAATTATTTCTTGTTTTCTTTTATCTATTTAATAATTAATTAAATTGTTACCATTTAATAGTATATTCGTGTTTTAATTTTAGTAGGACGTTATCTGACTTACTGTAATCATCATTTTGAATGCAATCATTGACCCTGAATTACATGTATTAACAAGTACCAGTGACAGTCCTCACTTCAACGACCATTACTACAATTATTATACAGCAAAGCTTGGCAACAATTGCCAACGGCCATATAGCATAGCTCTACAATAAATGACTTGGAGTGAAGGGGCAGGAAAGAGAGGGAGAGGGTTGGGAGAAGGGGTAGACGAGAGAGGGGAAGATGAAGGAGAGAATGGTGAGAAAGGAGGAAGAGGAGGAAAGTGGGGAAAAACAGTGGGGATGAATTTGGGGGGGGGGCAGACTATCCCAGGCAACACAGGCTACACATTCTATTGAAACTTATAGATAAATTACTTAGTTATATTTGTGTTATACTAAGTGAATATACTGTACATTATCTACGAATGCTCCACCATGTCATATATCAAACATGTATCTATTATTATTATTATTATTATTATTATTATTATTATTATTATTATTATTATGATTATTATTATTATTATTATTATTATTATTATTATTATTATTATTGGATAAAATCCTACATTTGTATATTTGCGAAATTTCTGTAAGGAATTTACACCAAGACTTGAGATCAGAATTGAGGAACATATGAAAACGTAGAATAATGGCTGGTAACAGTACTATAGCAAACCATAATTGGGAAAAGGATCACAATATTGATTTTCAGACGTGTGGAATGGTCTATAAAAGTAATAGTATTAGAACTAGATGGGTAGTGGAAGGAGTTCTAGTGAATACTCTGAATACTTTCGTTGGCAACAAAAACTTTGCTTCGGAGGATTGATTTACTAGGAAAATGTGACTGAGTGAATTAAAATTAGATCTCTATAAATAAATGAATGAAAGCAGTCCCATTAGCCGCGTTCCTCGGGGTATGGAGAGGGTTACGAGGGATAGCATCCAGATGAACACCTCTATTAATAACAACTCCAGTTCCCAGAGTTGCAGGAGTACAGAAAGGACACATGACCATAATTCCGTAGAACACATTACCGTAGGTACATCGGCAGTCGGAAATAGAGGTGACATGCTCAGGAGGTCAAGAAGGATAAGAGGACTGGACCCAGGATAGCATCCTGGGGCGGACATCTCCCGTCCTGCAGGATGCAGTCGCATCTCCACAGATCTCCAGTATCAGCTCTTGATACTGGTAATGGCTCAAAAGGGCCACCACTTACGGGCTATTCATGCCCGTGCCACTTTTTGGGTTGCTTAATTGTAATCAATCGATAGCATCCTGGCCTTGACGGGCTCACCATAGCTTGTGCTACCTGGACATCTCGTTCTGAGTAGCAAAATCTAAAACCACAACGGATAGCATCCCAACTACAGTTACAGCCCGCTCCTGTGCCAGGTAAGTTCACTACGGGGCTCACCATAGCCTGTGCTACTTGGAACTTTTTGTTCCCAGTAGCTGAATCTTAAACAACAACAACAAGATAGCAGCCACACACACACACACACACACACGGTCTACACCAGGAAGCCCGTGTAACTTCACAAGACATCCATCGCCAATGCGACCCGTCGAGGGGGTTTTAACAACGACAATGCGCCACAAACGCCTAAAAGTCAGGACTCGCCCCATGGACGGTTACTCTTTCACCAAAAGCGACATCTTGACGATCCTATAAGAAGGCGCCGGCATTACACCCATCGACCTTGGTCAAGAAAGGAAGAGTACTGTGCTCTATTTCTTGTGTGGAGGAACTCGAAAAAATTATAAAAAATCGATCGCACACTTCGCAAAGTGCACCATCTCTGTCCTCTCTTCCCACGTCAGCACACCGTCGACCGAACAGTCTTTATCAGCGGGACCAGCCGCTGGATCGCGGACCGAGAACAAACGGAGACCATTAGCAATATCAATGAAGAAAACCCGAACCTGGGGGTATTGTATGGTATATTCTGCAGTAACGATACCGACGACGACGACAAGCACCCCACCTTGATGATATCCTTCACCACCTTAGCCGCGGTTAACCAGACTGCCACATGGTCTCTACGGCTTCGGCATCAAGATTCCACCCTTCCGTGTGAAGAAGATACGATTTCACGAGCTCCAGCAGTGCTTTCGGTGTTACGATTACTACCATCCCACCAACAAGCGTTTGCACCCTGTCCAGAAGTGCAGCCTTTGCACCCAGGACCATCATTACACCATCTGCAAGTCAAAAACCCATTGATGCCTGCTCTGTAGTGGCGATCACCCTGCAGTTTCCCACCGCTGCCCTCGCAGACAGGAAATCATTAGGATCCAGGCTGAATCCAATAAAGCCAAACCTATTTCCGCCGCCGCAGCCACCTGCACCAAATCCAGCAGCTCAGCTCCCACCAACCTACCAGAAGACTTCCCACTACTACCAAACATTGGCTCCTCCCAACAGGCCACCTGGCCTCCACATTGGGGACCTAAGGACCAACCAACACCCTCACAGTCCCTTGTGTCACGTGCAGGCATTATCCTTGGTCTTATTCGACTAGCGGAGAGGCCTGCCAGACCAGACAATCAATGATTCATCAAGGAACTCAACGCTCTGTAACTAGCCAATGGCCTGGACCCCAACATAGCCCTGGATGCAAGTCTTACTGCCTCCACTACCACTCCGGAGACTACCACCAGGATGACCACGAGGCTGATCTCAACACAGACTCCAGAACCACCCAAGACCCGAGCGACACAAACGAGATGTAAGTCTCGTCCTAATCACACTGCCCGAAACGCTTTGCGTAATAGTGGCTTTAGGCATTGTATGTACTAGCTCTATCTATAATCCATCAACTTTTGTATCTTACCTTGTATGTACGTACCTTACCTGAACAAAAATTTATTATATTTATATTTATTTACACACTCAGACCTTGACAACGCACTCAGGAGAGTGCGAAAGACTTGGTGTAAATTCCTTACATAAATTTCTCAAACACAAAAGTGTGGGCTTTTATCCTATGTTATTATGTCTGTGAGAAGACATTATCGTTACTTATTATTATTATTATTACTTGACACATGTTTGGAAAACAGTTAATAAGTTAATATGATTCGTAAAAACTCTTTAGAAGTGTCATACGGTTACCTTATGCCGTATACCATTAGGCTTGGTGATATGCTTATCAATCATGTGCGTGTCTATGACGCCTTCCTCCCCCTCCCAGTCCTCAGGGGCTTCACCCAATGTATACACCAGCTTCACTCTCTCATCTCTGGCTGTTGGTATCAAAGGGAAATTACACGTTTCTGCTCTACAGAAGGAAGTTAACATGTTAAATACCGCCAGAAATTATATATGAGGAGATACTATAGTAAGTATTGGAAAGTGGTTACGCTTTTGGTGTCTGGAAACAAGAAATAAGGCTTCAACATTGCAGGAAGTTGACAGTCTCTTCTAAAGAATGTAAATGTATAAAAGCTTAATAAGTTTGAAAAAATAAAAATGCTATCAAACTCGGTTGGAATATTACTGTATAGTATATAGCCTATATATATATTCTTATTAAAAAAGTTATAACTTGGATTGAAACATTATATTTCCCTTAAAAAAAAACAGTTATATATTTAAAGCAATTTTAACTTCACTTTAACTGAAACTACAATTTATTAACAGTGTTATTTTTGCTGATAAAAAGTTATATGTACAAAACTTAATAAATTTTGTTATATTTATATAACATTGGCTATGTTATTAAAGGTTTAGGTGACTAACTGATATATTCTGCCGAAGCCTATACCAACTCGAAGATTTCTTATTTCTTATGTATGAAAACTCTCATTTACCTGCATACTGATCCAGTTCTTCACAATAGAGAATCTCATTATAGTTTTCAGAGAAATATATAAGTTTAATGTTGGTTTTATCAGTGGCGTCCCTCATGATGTAGCGGATGAGTTGCATGGCCGGGGTGACGCCGCCTCCAGACGCCAACACTGTCAACTCATCCAACTCACTTGACTGGTATTCAAACCCCCCACATGGCCCTTGGAATTCCACTTGGTCTCCTAAAAAAGATCATATTATCTTCTAGCTCTTCTATCATTGAAAAGTAGTCATCAGGTTAAATATGGTCGGGTTTAGCTTGATATGGCTTTAAAATTAATATTACACACACACGTTACATAATATTGTGCTGCATAGGCTTCTAAAAGCTCATTTGTTAGGCTTCAGCTTAGAAAATAAAATATGCAAAGCTCATACATCAACATAAAATATTTACGATATACATGGTAACTGTGGTCAAGGGAAATATTTTACGTTGACAAGAATTAGATAAAAACTGGATCAACAGGAATCATACCTGGCTTAAGGGCTTGGAAATGGCGGGATACCAGCCCCTGCGTCTCGAACCTCAGCACAAGCTCAATGTGCCCGAAGTCATTGGGACAAGACACAGGAGAGAAGTAGCGAAGATGTTCTTTTCCATTGATGTTGACCTTAACCTATGATAAAGACAGTCACACTAAGATGTATGGCAGTTAATAGTTGCTACAGATCGAACTTGATGATATGAGGTATTTATTTCTCCGTGTCATCTCAATGCATCAATAACGTAACATTTTCACGAAAAGAGAGGGTAAATATTGGGACATACTCTCCCACACTACATGGCCGAATGCCCAGTTATCAGACCATTCAGACCCGTTGGCATGAGGTACCTGGAGCTTTGCAATTACATTATTCCTTGTCCTGTTCTTGATAATATCCTCTTATTACACCCAAAATTTACCAGTGCAGGGGCCGGATTCAGGAAGGTACTTACGAAGGTTTTTCCTCTTAGCTAAGAGCGTTTTCCGTCTTAGCGCCTTCGTGGCGGCTACGTCCGTATTCAATTAACTACCCAAAGTGGAAAAACCTTCGTAAGTTCATTCCGGGATTTAAGTGTGGTTTCGACCACTCGTAGCTTTACGTAAACTGGATATAAGTCATTTTTTCTCTACTACATAACACTGGGATCGATTTATGATATTGGAACATGACCAAAATATTATAGCTGATGAATCTAGTGAAGAGTAATCCTTCGTGTTAGTTATATATGCATTCTCTGCTTGAAACTTGAAGTAAATATGTGTTTGATGATAGTAGAATTAGTTTTATAATAGCAAGATATTATACCAGTAGTTATTAAGTAAATAAACACTGGTGAACATGAAATATGAGAGAAGGTGATGAGCCCTGCCTGATGGGATCATTTACTATCACCAAATGCCCCTGTTCACCTAGTAGTAAGGGTGTACCTTAGCTATACATACCCATTTCTAATTTATTTAGTTTGGTTTTATTTTGAAATTAAATCTGGGTGAGACATCAAATAAAAATATGCTGCACAAATGATGTTAGGTAAGGAAAAGGGTAAAAATGTCAAAAACTTTATTCATTGAATACTTAAAGCTATAATTATGACTATATAGACTACTAAAAAAGAGAGAGGGAAGTAGGGGTCCAAGACCTCTTCCTGTTATACTATTTGGGTGTGGAACAAGTAATTATCAAAAGAAGGCACCATGCCGGGAAGGCTATGTAGCAGTAAGGCAGTGAGGTGAGGCAGCTACTTATTTGAGAAATGCTTATTTTATTTACCTTATAAGCTGAGGCAACTTATTTTATTTGAGGAATACTCAGCTGATTCCTCTACATTTAGCATGGAACAAATTTGAGTCCAAGACCTCTTCCTGTTACTCAATTTGGCTGTGTGTAACCAAACTAGAAGTGCTCTACAAATCAAGGGACCCAGAATGTGGAATGACCTCCTGAATCATGTCAAAGGCTGTACCTCTCTCAACCAGTTTAAGAGTTAAACCAAGTACTGCCTAATTAACTCCATGTAACCGAACTTACCTCCTAAATGTCAACCCATGTCTTGCTATTTTTTAAACAACGCTGTTCACCAACATGTGCAATTGCTGATTTATGCTATGTTAACCCCCTTTTTGTATTTTTTATTCCTTCTTTCAACACAATTTATACCTAATCTCGATTACTATTAAGTTTTAGTCTGTGTTTTTTTCCCCCCACACCTTGCCCGAAATGCTATGAGTATTAGTGGCTTTAGGTATTGTATGTACTAGCTCTGCCTATAAATCCAACATTATGTTTGTAAATCAACTGTATGTACTTTTGCTGAATAAAATGTATTTATTATTTATTTTTTAATCAGTAAGTATTAAAAGAAGGCACCAAGCTGGGAAGGCTATGTAGCACCATTGTGTGTAACAATAAACCAAATTTTTTTTAACAAATAATGCACCTGTATGGGAAAACAAATCCTGTCAGCTGTAAAAATATTGATGCAGTTATTTAAATGAAAAATATAATGAAAGAAATATTACTGGTTTATTTTTATCCTATCTTTTTGTACTGTACAGTATATCCAAGGAAGTGAAAAATTAAGACATAATGCACAATTTAATGAATGATTAGCATGGATTAGCAGTTCAAAAGAAATATGACTTGTATTACATATCAACATGAGATCTTAATGATCCATGGTCAACATGATTTAATAAGGATAATACAGTACTGTATTTGTAATAATACAAACTATAATTTAAAATCTTTATTACTGATTTTTTTTTATTAAGAAGATTAGGTATACACAGCAATGTGCTGCTACCCTATTCTATATGGAATATTACACAGTGTAGATAAAAAACTAGCTATAAGTTTATCTAATACTCCCATCTCACAGGATGGTTAGACATACTGTACATGGAATCAATTTAGAAAATACCAGCCTCAATACAAAAAACAAATCAACTCTGACTAAACAACTCTAAGCAATTTTCACAAGAGGTAAGCACTGAATCATGGAAACATTATATTATAATGTTTACCAGTTACCAGTTTCTACAAAACTCCTCTCAAACAATGTATTTTTAAACATGTTTAGGTATACACAGCAATGTGCTGCTTCCCTATTCTGTATGAAGGACCACACACTGTAGATTAAAAACCAGCTACAAGCTCATTCAACATCCTCACCTCACAGGATGGCCAGTCATACATGGAATTAGGAGAGAACAAAATACTTAATGCTGATCTATTAGCCTCCACTGGCAAAATCTGGGTGCAGCACAAGAATATCTTCCAATATTCCTGAGTGTATGAAGTAATTACAGAGCTCAAAGTACCTCATACCATTTGGTATGAAGTCACTGATAACAGGACAATCACAGATATAGTGTTGGAGAGTATGTTCTCTCAAGTAGGACTGAAAACAGATTTTTTTTTTCCACCAAGAGAGCTATAAACCCATGGAACCGCCTACCCGCTGAAGCCGTAAATGCCAAATTCCAGCTAAAAAATAACATTAATTCAATTGGCGGGCCCTTTAACAAGCCGCCGGCTTTCTGTCCTCTTCGAGGTCATTAGATAGTTAGTGGCCATTGGGTAAATTCAGTAAATATATACAATAATTGTCAGCGCATCTTCCGAGCAACAAGGACAGCTACACAGTATCTCTTAGAATTACGTAGGTAAACAACAAATGTAACATATTTGTTTACTACAATGTCCGTGCTGCCTGTAGAAGTTGAAAAAAACATTGTTTTACTTCGAAATATACTAATTTATAAGAAAATTCGACGTAAATAGGAGGCAGTAGAGCTCCTATAAGCCAGCGCTAAATCTTCAATATGAAGAATGTTGCTGCTCTCTGATTGGCCAAACGATACACAGTAGTGACCTCTATCGGCACGCAGGTGAACCAACAATTTTCTTCCTAAGTATACCTTATTGAATCGCACCTAAGCATCTTCTTAGGGCGCACTTAGGAACCTTCGTAGCAAACCCACTTACGAAGAAATACACAGAGCTTCCTGAATCTAGGTCCAGGCTACTGAACGTATGGCCCTGTATGACTAACCATCCTGCGAGATGGGGACTTTCAGTATCACTGCGACTTTATTCACTCTTATGTTCATGATATCCTCATAATGCACCCAGAATTTCCCAGTGCGGACTACTGATCATGTGCCTTTGTATGACTAACCATCCTGTGTTAAGGATGATTTTTAGCATCGTACCTAGTTTTTTGACACACTGTATTTCCCTTCATATAGTCTAGGGTAGCTGCACAAATGCAGATGTAGCAAAATGTGTTAATAAAATATATATATTCAAAATACTATAGTAAAAATATTAAAGGTTTATGACTTGTAACTTGTATACTTGTGTATATATATATATATATATATATATATATATATATATATATATATATATATATATATATATATATATATATATATATATATATACATATGTCGTACCTAGTAGCCAGAACGCACTTCTCAGCCTACTATGCAAGGCCCGATTTGCCTAATAAGCCAAGTTTTACTGAATTAATATATTTTCTCTAATTTTTTTCTTATGAAATGATAAAGCTACCCATTTCATTATGTATGAGGTCAATTTTTTTTTATTGGAGTTAAAATTAACGTAGATATATGACCGAACCTAACCAACCCTACCTAACCTAACCTAACCTATCTTTATAGGTTAGGTTTGGTTAGGTAGCCGAAAATGTTAGGTTAGGTTAGGTTAGGTATGTTAGGTAGTCGAAAAAACATTTATTCTTGAAAAATTTGTCTCTTTTACTCTGACAGGGTGAGATAGCTGATAGAGAAACTAGTGTGCAATTAAGCACTTAATCACTGAAGGTGATTAAGGTGCTTTTACAAGCTCAGGTTATATAGTTACATCACATACATACATTGTATAATTGATACATTACATGGTCAATCTTGGGTACAAGTCCAATTAGTCCAGGAGGGCGAAAGTCAGTCAGTATGGGACATTCTACAATATAATGTTCAAGAGAGTGCTTGTTTTCTTTTTCACAAAGTTGACACATTGTGTACTCGACATTTAGGTTTTGAGAAAGCTGCCAGATACGTCTATATCCCAGGCGTATTCTGGCCACTATAACATCACATTGCCGGGTTCTTGTTCTATTAGTCCCATATGTGAATGTCTCCTCACGATATCTATCATAATATTTAATGCTACAACTTTCACGTCTTTGTGAATTTGTTAGGTCGGTGAGATCTTCATTAGATATTTGTTTAAGTATTCTCTTTGTCACCACGAAGTGATGCCGCCTCAACCACATCTAATCTTATCCTACTGCAAATGCAACTAAGGATACAATTAACTAGCAAAGCTACCAGAATATTAAACAGCAAAGTTGTGACATAAAATATAGTGCCTGAGCTCTACTAGAGAGGTTATCAAATCTGGCAACTTGTCAGACGGCACCGGCTTTCAAGACTGGATTTTACATAAGTATATTGAGTGTTATTGTAGTGTGTTGATTGGCTAATTGCATGCTTGTATAACCTTAATCCATCCATTAAGTCTTTTTGCCTTTACAGCGCGGGGCGACACCCTAGATTACAGTAAGTTTTGATTAATCTTTAAGCCATTGAATCTTCAAGTTGTCTGGACACTCAATTATTATT